ATACTCTGATGTCTCTCTGATGACTGATGTCGTAAATACATTAATGACTTTTAATATTCGTTATATTAATAAGTTGTCGCAAATTACTAATTAATAGTAAATATGATTTAATAGTTGTTAGTATCTCTTTTCGCGTTTATCAATATTTTATTAAACATTGGTTTAGGAAAATTTGTGTTATCGTATGTATTTTCGACGTTTTTGTATAATCCCGTATTACTAATTTCTTAATTATGCTTCTATATTATTATTTTTATTATATTTTGAACAGCATTTATAATTGTACATTGTATTGTAAACAATTATTATAACTGTATTTAAATTGTATAAAAGATTACAATAAAAGATAATATTAAAAAAGTTATTGCAATATAATTAGTGAAATATAATAAAATAATTAGATATAAAAATACAGAAATTAATTAAAAGTATACTTACGTGTAAAAACGAGCTACTAAATTTATTAGTATATTTTTTTTTTGCTGATGAATATATTTACAAAGAAAAGAGGACCGCCGATAAAATCGGCGGGGATGGTGGAGGGCCTCGTTTTTACTAAATTAAACCTCAATTTAACGATATATAATCGAAAAGTTTGAAGTATATTTAAATTAAAGATTCTACAATTGATTGTGATTATAGATGCTTTGGAACATACTTACATACTATTAATTGTGTTTGGTAAAAACGGGCTAAAAATTTTCATTAAACAAATTTTATAGTATTCCATTTTTATGCAGACGCATATTATTAGACAAAAATTCGCTAAATTAACTTATTTGAATATTTAATTTTGTTTAATAAAATTCGACAACTTTTATTTACGTAGTAGGAGATGTGAAATTAAAATTTTCCTTTAAGGATCCGTTATTAAACATATTGTGTAATTAAAAGATTTGTTAAATAAAAATGTAAAGATTTTTATTGCATAACCAGAATTCAGATTTTCTTGAATTTTACGCGAATTTTGTGTTATGATATGCATGCATTTTGTTTACGAAATATTTTATACTACTATATAAAGAAAATGTGTAAGCAATTTATGTATTTTACATTTTATATTAAAAAGATTTAATTCTATTCTGTCACACATATTATATTATATTTTACTATATTATATTATGTCTAATTTCTTTGTATATTATAATTCTTTGCTTATGTTCTATTATATTGTGATATCAAATAAACATTGTATAAAAATATTAAATTTGTATATAATACATAAAAAATAAGTAAATCAAATTCAATAAACCTCAAGCTACACGTAACGTACCTCTTAGTTATAATTTGCCATATAAGATTATAACTGCAATGTAATATAATACGTGTGCTTTACTACAATTATATTATTTGTTACATGCAACTTGGTGTTTGCTGAGAAAAAGCGGACAGCCGTTGGCGGGAGTAATGGAGAGCCTCTACAAATAGATTTGTTTTTATTCATCTAAATTTTCCTTACAACTTTAA